CAAGTTATTTCAAAGACTGGTTTGTGCAGACAGGCCTTTACTAATATATAAAATATACCAACAATTCCCCCTTTCTCTTTTTGCACAAACCAGGCTTTGGATAAGATAACATACAACTTAGACTTTCATTCCCATTAACATTATAAATAAAGTCTGTCCCCCTTCTAGCACAAGAGACCTCAACCATCCAGTGATGCCCCAGCTGGAGAACCAACTTCCAATGGGGTCACTATCTTCTTTCAGGGCATGTAACCCATCCTGTAGCTGTTGCAGTTGCCCATGGATGGAAACTGAATGATCAGTAAGATTCAAGCAGCACATGCCTTCAAACTCCCCACAACCATGTCCTTGTGCTAAGAGCAAAAAGTCAATTGTGGCTCGATTTTGTAATACTGCATGACGTACACTACTCACATCAGCTGAAAGTTCACTTAACATTGTGGATGTTAAATTCAATTTTTTCTTAGTCTAACAAGCGAGCCTTTTTAGAGTTGCTAAGCTTTAATTCATTCAGGCTTCACTTTGTTTACTGATGTTTTTTATTTTATCAACTACATTCAGCAATTGGTGTAAGCTTGGATGGAAACAAAGTAAGTTTCCCAAGATAACAGGGTTTTCTATGTGGATTAGCAGGAATCTAATTCCATGCTCTATCTCCACAAATTAGGAATATGGAACTAAGTAATCGCTTTGGTAATTGTCCTGTGAGATTGCACCACTAATAAAGGCTTTACTTTCAATGGTAGTAACGAGATCAGCTATAGGGTTGTCTGCAGCCCAGTGCTGCATTACTTTGTTAGAATGACGTTTTGTCGGGGGTTCAAACATTATCCATCCACCTGAGGTATTGGTGGAACCTAACAAATCTAATTCTTCTGAGGGCTGCATGGTAACATTGAGAACTTTGATAATTTTTGCTTGCCTGCAGGCTTCAAGTTGTCTTAATGTGAAGCCAACAGTGCAATTGCACTCTTGCAACATTGCAAATTGATTCAGTCGAGTCTCATTACTAATTAAACCTTTAAATGCTGGAGGATCCCATTCAGGGTCTCCTATGAGACAGGTGTGAAAAGGATCTCCAGGTGTGGCTAGGCTCAAACACATTGACCTTTGGCCTTTAGTTCAATGTGCCAGAGTGACCCATATGTTCTGTCACTTTTGGATGTTAGTTAGCAGACAGTTGGTCAGGACTATACACAACACAATTACCATAAGCAGTTTTTTCCATGTAAATGACACCATACTAGCAAATTCACAGCTAAACTTTAACGTTAAATGAACTTTCAAAGATGCTTACACTTAGAGCTCTTGAAGGGGGAAATGCTTATACTTTATACTAATTTATACTAATATAACAATTGCTATACAGGCTAAACTCTTTATCTTAAACTATCTAACTACTTTTAACACACGTGCTCTGGTATATATGTAGTCTAAGCGTGGAAGCAATTTGCTGAAAGGGTAAACACACAACTACAATTTGCTTTATATACAGTTAGATGGAGTCTCTACACTTTTCTTAGATCTTCTACAGAATTTCCTTCACAAAGAGACTATAATTTAACACAATTCAGTCTTGGAACGTTCACTGCTCCCATGATGTCAGCTGGCAGCTGATCGGTGACTGAAGGCTTTGATGTTCAGGTTGTTCTTCACGTCCTTCTAAATCATAAAACAAAAGATAACTGAAAAATTGGTAGAGACACAACATCATAATAACAACATAAAATTTCTGTTGGCAACTGTCTGTGTAGTGTTCAGACACAACTGTGTCCTGACAGCTCCACTTCTGATCCATGTCTGGAGTACCAAGGCTGTGTGGTGACATCTCTGTTCACTGGATCTCGTGTGTTCAGGGGCACAGTCTGGTCAGATGGACAGGTGACCTTTTTGAACCTGCCAACAAAACACAGACACTTCTCCCCTTGAAGTTAATGAATTACACTAATCAAATGCTTTTAGGGCATCAATTTCCCCCGTTTTTTTAAAAAAAAACAAAAAACAAGATGTACTTCTGTTATAAACATCAACATTAACACAAAACCATATACAATGAGTAAGAACCTATAGCAGTTAAAAATCAATTAAATCATAAACATTATTAATAACATATGTAATATAAAACTACTATTAATTACTAAAACACTGCACCAGCATCCCATAGTTAGCAAACAAACAGAAACAAAAAATCATCAGTGAAGGATTGGATCACCACCTCCGGAAATGATTCTCCAAGCTCACTTCAAAATTGATCCAGCTGTCATATTAATAGGGTCAAATTGCTGAGTCAAAAAGTGACTCAAATACTGATTTGGGACAGAAAACATCTGGATCTATTGGCAAACAGATCTGTCCAGGTAAAGTCAAGGCTTGGCCAGGGCCTGGCTTTAAACTGGAAAGATGCCTCTTAACTCATTTCTAAAACAAGGTTCTCAATAGCAGCAGCTAGGAGATGCTCACAGCACAGCAAACTGTTAAAATGCATTTGTACAAAGCAAATGATCAGAAGCCTCAGGTACCAGACCAATTAAACCATGCAGCAGCTGGTTTAATCTGAAGCCTCCCCCATGGCAGCTGATCCTCAGCAATGGTACATCTTCTTAAAATTCTGGAAACACTGAAAAATAAGAAAACTATGGCAAACAAAAACTGCAGAGATTGTAACAACCAATAGAACTCCCGATGAAGTCAAGGGTGTCACAGACTGCATTCCCTTCTATCCACAAGCAGGTGTTCATCAGTGTTCTGTCACAGCTGTTTCAGTAGTGGCTATCTTCATCTCTCTAGGAAAATAACTATACTTTGCAGTTTAGACAAGTGTCTCCAATAAAACATAAACAATTTAAATTAAACAATATTTAAACCTAACAATAATGATTTATGACAAAAGGAAGTAACAAACTTAACCTTAAAGGAATATCTAAGTTATAAAACTTAACTTAAAAACATTCAAGCCTAAATATAATAAAACTTGACTTTTCTTAATTCTATTAACACTTAATCTATATTAAATAAAAACATACCTTAATCTTATTCTGTTACTACAAAGAGGCAACTAAAAGTTTGATATATACCTTTTAAACACAATATAACAGTAACATGGATTCACTATAAAGATTATAAAAATGTAACAAGTACATCACAATTCTATGTCATCTAGCTTTGAGAATAACTCACAATAACTGCAAATAGTACTAAAAATACACATTCATAACAGGAATTTGCCTAGTATATGTTCAAATTGGTTAGGATTTTAAAGTGCAGATTTTCTAGAGAAAAACCACAACAACACAGGATTTGGCAAGTTGCCATTCAGCTTTTGTAGCACTTTTCAGAAACATTAAGTCTAATTCTTAAACTAAAATCTAAAATCCAAATTGGTATATATGCAGTTATATGTGTTTTATATAACAAAAGGACTCACATTGAAATTACCTTATTAAAATTGTGGAAAAAACAAGCAAATGGGTAATATATACTTTAACTTAACTTTGTCTTGTACAGTAAAGTTCTCTTAACTAATTATTTTTTTAAACCACAAATCTCTTCTGCAGATAACATTAATTGGAGTGTTTTCCTAGTAGCTGTAAATCATACCATATTTTAACCTTAGGTTTTAAGGCTAATTATTGCAAGGTAACTTCTGTTAATATTCACCTTAAACACCTTTTTTCTTGAAAATGGGCCTTTTTAAACTTTCAAAGAATCACAATAATTTCTCCAGGAAAACTCCAAAAAACTGCAACTGCATAAATTCATTATTACTTAAAACACAAAATTAACTCTAAAAGGGTATATAAAAACATTTTAAAAAACCAATGAACCATGACTTTTTAACAAACTGGGTACTATCCCACTTTTTAACAAACTGGGTACTATCCCAGTGCTTTTTCTTAGAGGGCGGGTGGGTGGACTGCCCGCCCTGCTGCTGCTCTCTGCTGCTGTTATCTTTCTTCACATTCTCCACATACTCTCGCAGAAAAAAACCCCAAAAACCTCACAAAGTTAAGTTTAACACATACAGTTGTTTCTCTCAATCTCTCTTGTTCACTGATAGAGGAAAAAAGGGGCACAATTTTTACAAAAGCAGGCAATGCAAAGACACAAAAGTCTCTTAGGACCAGGTGGCAACAACGGTGACCATTGCAGCTTATCAACTTCTAATTACAGTGATGAAGTTTGAATTAGATACCATATAGTTTGTGATTTTTTGGCTATTTTTTCTCTTTTTGAAGCTGTCTGAGCCACCTGTTTCTGCTCAGCTGTTTCTGTAATTCTTCAGAGTGGCCTTGGAACTTTTTCTGCACTGCTTCTGCCCCAGGGGTGCCCCCGCTCTCTGCGCACACCTCAGTGCTCCCCCATGTCCCCCTGGTTCGGGTGGAAACCAATCTAAATTTGGATTCTTTTCCTCCAGGGTAGCAAAGTTGGAACTTAAATAAGATTGTAGTGTTAAGAGTGACTCCAAAAGTGAAGCAAATAGTTCAGGATATATCACATCCTGCCATAACTGAACAGATTCTGTTGTTTTAGTGTTTGCTCTGGAATTTCTTTCTCATTATTTCCTTCTCTCTGACTCTCCCTCCCTCTTTCCATGGGCAGCATAGATAGGAGTGTTTGCCCAGCAGTGGGAGGCAAAGGCGTGAGCATACCCATAAGCAAGAAATCCAGGGAGCTCCTTGCGCAAATCAAAACCCTTAAGCTGTGGCTTTTCTAAAAAGCAGGTAAATAAATCATGTGCTGCTTGCCTTTCCATCTTACCGTCAGCGCTGTCGCAGCCCTACAAGGTTTGGCAGCACGTTACGGCCAGGACTCTCCTCTGAGGTCGCCTGGGGCGCGGCACCGTTGCTTTTCGCCGTCCTTGCTGCGGAGGACCCGTCCCCTGTCGCCGACTCCCGTGGCCTTCGCTTTTTAATGTCCCAAAGGTCCCAAAGGTCCCAAGGGTCCCATTTGTTCGGGCGCCATTTGATGAGTTCGGCGGGAGACAAGCAGCACTCAATATGAATGATCAGCAAGTCTCATTTATTGGCAACTCCAAACTCCCTATATAACATCAATAATTAGGCTCACACATAGTGCAAAAGCAAGCTCATTATTGGGTATTTCGTTTAAGGACAACTCCACCTAGTTCCACATTCTTGTGGTCGTTCATCTGTGCTGAATCCACATTCTTCTGATCACAGTGTCCTGTTCTCAGTTCACAGTTATCACTAAGGTCTTTCTGACATTGCAACATCTCATACCAACTACACTCTACTGTTGTTTAATTCTTTCTCAGCTAATTGCTGCATGGGAACACGACCTTTGTTAGCTA